ATGCTTCTGTCCAACAGGTTTGGTGCAAGTACTAAAGTGGTGCACTTCCTGGGAAGCACAAAGCCATGGAACTACACATATGACTCCAGAACAAAAAGCATAGAAGGCAACATGGACGACCCTAAAATAGTTCACCCAGAATTCCTCAACATGTGGTGGGATACCTACATAGCTGATGTTTTACCATTACTAGAACAGCATGGAATTGTTAAAGAAACTACTACAGGTGTAAACATGGTACGTGCTTTAATAATCTTGTACATCCATACCCAAGTATGGATGATGGGTTATTTACCATTGCAGTGATTTTCCTTCCTTCTGTCCAACTCAAAGCATGGGTGTGTTTTAGTTTGGGGGATGCAGGGTATTTTGGGTTTGCTCTTTTAAGCTTGGAATAAAAAATACTACAGAAGAGAAGCATGCTGTAGTGGTCTTGAACACAGCTGTATGATTGGCTAAAACAAACTGTGTAAGAAGCTAACCTTGCACCAGATATTATACTGTAGTAACTTCTTTAACATACACAGAGAAGGGCCCTAACTCTTAATGTTGCAGCTAGTAAGGTTCTCAAGCAGAAGAACCCCAGTTCAGCATGCAAATGGGTACATACAGATCTTGCATGGTGAAACAAATTTGGGTAAACCTAGGATAACTAGAGAATCAATACTTACACAAAATGGCAATGATGAATCCCAATACTTATTAAACCCAAAGTAATGATTCGAACTCTAATTCTCATTCAGAGTTTAGTAGCTTGCATGTGACTGCAGACTTCTTAGTCTTAGCTTAGTACGTGGGCCAGTTTAAGTTCTCAACCTTTCCAATACCAAAGTTAATGATCTCTTAAGATGTGCTTTCTCTCGGTAATCTTGCATCTTTCTAACAAACTATTTGCAGCTATCGGGCTTGGTCTATACTCTGGCTTTCTCTTGTGGCTTCTGTAGAGAGGTATGAAGAACTTAAACTTTAACTTTTTTTTTTTTTATTGTTTTTTCCCTTGCTAACTTCTGTAACTCTGCTTTGTTATTTTGCTAGGAAAGCTGCACAACCCCTGCCCGTTGGCAATGCTTGCTACTGCGCATGAGAACATCTACTTTGTTGTCCCATTCTTCTATGGCCTGTTGCTCACTTTAGCTATGCAAAGTATTTCTGTATTTTTACTCTGCCTTTCCTTTTAGGCAGAGGTTACAGAGGCAGTGTCCCACTTATCAGTATCACCAATATTACCAACTGAATCTTCAGAAGAACGCAAGGAACGGTGGGAACAGGGCCAAGCTGACTATATGGGAGTGGATTCCTTTGACAACATCAAGAAGAAACTTGATACCTACCTTCAGTAGAAATGCCTGTCTCAAACAGTGGTGATGCAAGGACTTGTTCCAGAACTAACAGCTAGAAAGGTATAGATGGTGGTCAGTTACACTTGCTAGTAGCTTGATGAAAAACTTCTTGGCTGAAGGCCTCTGCAGTGCTACAGATGAACACTGAGCAAAAGCTAGGAAGCAGAATTCCTTGGGCCACCTATTACTGCCCAATTTCCAATTCTCCCTACTAGATAAAACCAGGTATTTTCAGCTTAAAATTTCTTCTGTTGTGATCAATTGGCTCAAGATATTCTCGAAACTGGGTTTGTTGCCTCACCTCATTAAGGTGATTAGCATTGATTCCTTTGCTTGCTGTTTTAGATGTAAAATCTAATTCATGAGATTGCTCATACACTGGAGTGGTAGCCGTTCTGCTTTACCATAAATGTATTAATGACACTGGGATACATATGGTTGTAACAGTAATAGCACTGCTTTGCTCTTCCAGTCACAATTGCACTGAAATTTTGACCAGGTTCTTACGCACAGTGCCTACAGCATGGCAGAATGCGTTTTTCAGTTCTGTATACTATGGGACTAGTAAACCGAGTTTTATCTGTTCCTTGCAATGTTGCACTTGATACAAAAATAAAAAGTTGTCATGCATTTCTGTCTTCCCTAAACTCTTGAGCAATTAAGGAAAAGGGAGATCCAAAGCAGGCTAACTAAAACATTCAAGAGGTATAACCCTTAAGCTTTGCTAATGCTACTCAGGCTCTCATTAGCAAATGTCCAGCTTTTAGTTCTGCAATTATTTACAGAGTAGATAGTAATTTGCTAGGGAGCTGTTTAGGGCCAATGCCCTTATTAGCTTGCCCTAAGTATAGGATAGAGCAGTGGAGGAAGTACCTGCTGAAGCTACTCACATTAGTAACATGGAGTTTGGGAAGAGGGCCTCTTTCTTTCAAGTGACTAAAGAAACATCATCTCTAACTTAAGCCCCGTACACTGAACTTAGTCTTACACACAGTGGTGATACTGTTTTGGCAAAGAAAGATTACACAGCTGCTTAAGTAACTGTACTTTCCTGACTAGGAAAGCTACTCTTTCCATGTGTGCAGAGAGTAAAAGAAAGGGCTTTTTTACCACACTCAGGCTACACATACTCCAAGATACGTGGGAAAGCAGTAAAAATAAAGTATGCTGATGAGAGAGATTGGCTGATATCTGTACTAAGGTTCAGATTTATCCTTTAGCCAAAAGTCTAAACAGAACAAAATTAGTGTTCTTTGACAGCTATACCCTGTACTAGTCCAGAAACACTAAGAAAATATTATTTCATTATTTTCTAATAGAGGAGGATTTTGGCTGGAACCTAGTGAGGGTGCTAAACTTTTAACCTAGAGATAAAATAAATAATCAACAAGCTCTCACAATTTGCTGGTAAAGCAGAAGACATAATACGGGTATGAGAGTTAGTCTGTTTTAACTTGTTTTCACTACTTAATTGCTCTAAGATCAGTTGGTCACCATTTAGGAAAAACGCTAAAAGATGAGGTCCAAACCAAAGTAGCTTGTAGCTTTTTAGAAGTACATAGTATCTGAACTCCCAGTTGAAACTAGCCCTTTCCTGTATGGGTTTTTCTTTTGCTGTGTTTTTTTTTATTTTTAAACAGATAAATTTGAAGTTGTGTGAAAGTAGGAGGGATTACTAGTTACAGTCTGTAATGACAAAAATATATCAACCAAGTACTGGAGTTCTGCATGCTCACAGAATACTCTATGGAAAATAGTAAAATACTCTTTTAAAGACAGCTAAAAGGTTTTCCTCCTCTTGTCTGTATTCATACTAGAGAATAGGCACATTGCTTCTTTTTAAACTTAGTTGGAGAGAACCAAGAACGTGTAAATGTATGAGACTTACTACCTGCTTGAAAATTTGGTTTAGCTTGTAAGTTTTGTTACGTTACTACAATAAGATAAGGAGAGATGCTGAATCAGATGAAAACCTGCATGTTTTGGGTTAACAAATACAGGTAGTAAAGAAAGAAAACCCGTAACAATCATTCTGTCCTAGCCTCTGTAACTCATACTATGGTCAAATGTTTACCCACAGCTCAGGAAAGCGAAAGGTATGACATCTATACCAAATTCTATGCGGTTTATTCTCACTAAAATGACCTTTATGTCATTATCTGCCACTATTTCCTTCACAACTGCTGCAGGCAGCATTTGCAGAAAAGCAGAGATCCCTTTTCTTCTCTTGCAGTAGTATCACTTGATTCATCAAGCAGTTTTCTGCTCTAAACGGAAGGTACTCAAAGCAGTAACTGAATCCAAGCACTATACTCAAAACATCACCAGAAAAATCATTGGGCGGCTTAGATTGCAACTCAAGTATTGGAACTCCATTTGCCTTTATAAAGCATATAATCTAAGGTGCTCCTTAGATGGTGACAACTCAGAGCAACTCTTAGGAGTTCAGAAGCATTTTTTCCATTTACATCTTTATTTTATGTACAAAGTAAAAAAAAAAAAAAATCAGAATGATAGACTATTAACTCAGTCTTCGGAATTAAAAATAATTCCAAAAGCTCATTTCTAGAACATATTCAAACTCCACAAAAGAGAATGCCAATAGCCAAAGACTACTTAGAGGTCATGAAAAGCAGAAATAAACTCCAAACAACCAGAACACAGGGGGTTTTATCCACCCGAGTAACTGAAGGGCTCCATCAAATCAAACAGGACTTTTCTGTTCTCAGCTTTGACCTCTATCTGTTCTCTCAGATACATTAATGACTTTGTTGGTAGAGATCATATAGCTTAGTACCACCTTCAGTAAATTTTTATATGGCTTTGGAACATGGAAACAATTGTCTAATAGAGGAAAAAGATACTAGTTTTCATGATAACTAAGCCATTCTGCAAAATGTCAGCACATTTTCACACAAGTAATGATGTAGCTTGACTAGCCAAATACATGGGTCTCTTTCCTGTGGAATTTTAACTTGGAAAGTGGAAATAATGAAACAAAGACAAATCTTTCCCTCATAATCGCAAATTATTTCTCCAGCTTCTCTCTAAATATCAGAATCTGAACCAGAAAAACTTTATGCAAAAAAACTCCCAAAAACCCCAACTTTAATCAGGTTTAACTCTGGTTTTTTTTATCTTTTGTCAACTTTCCAGTGATAACCAGTCACCAGGGTTCATGCTGTCTTCCATCATTCATGCCCTTTTGATTCCTTTTCTAACAGACTTAAGAGCATACTTTTCTCCATAGCTAAGATGCTGGCTCCCCAAAAACTGCATCAGCTTGTTAAATTACATATTTTTAATTCCTTTCTCACTTCTTTCATTAGCTCACTGTTTCTCCAAATAGTAGACATCTTCCCTTTATTTTCCCACTCCTTTTCCTTTTCCTGTATTTGCAATTCATCTTACAATCAGCTGGCTGGTATTCTTAGGACATAAGAAGAGGTGAAAGGCATTACAAGCAAAGTTAGATTCCACTTCTCTTCTGCCAAGTACACTTCCCAAATCTAAACAGGACCCAGATATAGCAAGCTCTGCCTCCAATGTGAAGTCTGAGCATTAGGGTGAAGGCAGCAGAATGTTAGATACACACATATCAGAAGACCAGAATCAAATGGAAAGAAAGGAACAGACAAGAATATTCAACTAATACTCAACTGAGATTCTTCAGTGCTATTTATTAGTTTGTGGTACCTGAACATGAGTAGCTTACCAAATTCTTCCTCCAGAAATCACGCAGCATGCAGACCAGTATTCCATAAAGACATATGTATGGAAGTGAAAAACACATAGTTTTTCCACTACAAGTGCAAAAGCAGTACAAGAAAACTGTTAGAAAGCTGGCAGCTATTAAAATAATTTGTTTAAATTATTGTACAATTATACAAATTGATACAATTTATTGTACTGATTCACTGGCATGTGAGTGGGTTATAATCTACTTTGAATATAGCACAGTCTTACTGTTCAAAGTATCTACTGAAATTACCAGATAGCATGTTATCAATACATGCCTGTGATTCTAGCATTTTATCCAAACAAAAAACCCTTCACTTTTATAAAAATCATTGGAATTCTTCTAAGAGAAGTAAAATATTAAAAGAAAGTGTTCTACAAACTGAAGTACTTCCTTTTTACTAGGTCCTGTGAAGTAATCAACAGAGGGACTCCCTGCTGCACCTGTATATTATTCAGAAACAGTACAAAATATTTTAAAATTTTTAACTAAATACCATCTTTCGACATAGCCTGCAAAAGTAAAAACTCCTTACAAAGTGTCACTGACCACCTATTCTGAAACAAACAATCCAGATGATCTGTTTGTTTATCAGGCAACATTGAGACAGAAACACAAAACTAATTCATTTCTAAAGGGTTTTGTCTGAAGGAGAAAACACATACTATGTACCTTTTATACTTTTTCACCTCTAAAAAGAGATGAAATGCTTACAAGTTAGAATGTATCAATACACATTTCCGTTTTGAGGGACTTCTATGTATTCTTAAGCATTGAACGTAATAAGCAACCTTTTGAAGAAATGAACCTTTTGAGGAAATGAACACTGGAATAATTTCAGGAGTTTGTGTGCTTCTAAATTAACATTTAGGAGCAAATTAGTTTTTATAATTTATTTGAAGCATTTATATTTTGAGCACAAAGAGAGCAAAATTGAAAGTTAGCATGGAACGTATAACTTGAAGAACAGTATTATCTAAACCATTAAATATATTATTTACTGAAAATACCACAGGATGAAGCTATAAATCAATCAGAGCCTTAATTTCATTAATTTTGTTTTGTTTCACATCACTTGCTGAAGGCTTTTTGGTAGCAAAGGCTCCTGCTGCAAGTTCCCTCTTCTTGTTCTGAATTTTCAGAATATTTTCCTCCACTGAATCCTTCACAATGAACTGAAATAAAAACAAACAAACACGCAAACAAAAACACTCTGAAATAAAGATGTTAAATTTTTTTTTTTAAACAAAAGTTTAGGATGAGAAATTAAGATATTTTGGAAAAAAATGCTAAGCAGCCTGAAGTACAGTTACATTATTTAGTTACTACTTTGTAAGTAAAACACAAAGAAAAGGGTTGTAAAGCAGTTGAAGGAAAAGGTTTGGCATTTTAATTTTTTAACCTTTCTTTTTTTTTTTTAATTTATTGGAAGAATATCTATTTCTTCTTTGCTACTTATATTAGAAGAGAACTTGTCTTCAATTTTCCAAATAATACATCTGTGACTGGATATTAACGAGACAGACCAGCTCTCTTACACAGCTAATCAAGCTGCTATGACAATGGCAGAAATGTTCTATATACCTTCAAGATTATGAACTGTAATAGCCAGGCTAAGCAACAGCAAACTACCCCATCTCAGTCACTCCAAATAGCTCAACAGGGACATCTGATTTCTAGTATTGAAATTTTACAATCCAAAGCCCATACTTCAACAATCACACCACAATTTATGTTTACTGGTGAGACTATAATGTCACAATTATTTTTATAATATAGTAAAGCTTTTTTGAAAATACTTCTTCATAACTAGGAAACTGTTGGGATCATCTCTCAACTCACCTTAGTAATAACAACATTATGCTTCTGACCCAGCCTGTGACACCTGTCAAAACACTGGTCTTCTGCAGCAGGATTCCAAGCCTAGCAGTAGCAGCAATGAACAAGTTAAATAACCTTACTTCAAAGTACCTAATAATATGCACACAGAATCACAAAGCAGATATTGTACCATCACCACTTGAATAAATATTGTTGGCAGATTAATTACTCCCAACTTAATGTCTCACTCCTTAAGTATCCCGCTGTTAAGAAAGCTTTGAGAACTTCCAGTTATATATTCATAACAAGCAAGAACTTCAGGTAAATGCTTTAAAAACAAAGTTTGTAAGGAGTCTAAAAGACATCAAAACAATCCTGTTATTTTAATTCTGAAATAAACACTGCATATATTAACTGCCTCAGTACCCTTTTCCTGATAGCAAAATCTAAACCAGCTGAACTCAGGCAGTTACTTAGAAGTAAACTAAGTCCCTGGACTGTTAAGTAAACCCACTTACTCTTTCAATTAGTATATACAATAATCACCATGTTACATAAACAAGAAACTTTGCTGAACACAAAATGATAGTGTAGCTGTTCCTGCTTGTGCTTAGGATTTAACACTAAATATAAGGATTTGTGAAATGCCAAGTCTGTGCATTTTTCCAGCATGTTTTTTCTATCTAAAGGTACAGTACTACTAGTTCTCACAGAACAGATGATTAAATCGACCTAACTGTAATAGCGTTCTGTCTCTGATAAGCAAGTCTCATTGAATGGGCTCGCCTTGCCATGTCATCCACATACTGCAAGTTACCTAAGTACTCTTAATGACTCATTTTAGATTCTAAGAACCTCTGATGCCTACACACACGCAGAGACATCAAGTTGCAAGATAAAATCCAAACAAGTCTTGTTTCTCCGATCTATGGTAGTGATCAAAAGTACAACAAATTATATCTTTGTCACTGCAAGATGAACATTCCTGGCAAGCTACGTATGGCAAACCATTCTAATATTAACCTAACTGTATGAACAAGATGATGTCTGGGGGAAAGACCTGGCCCAAACATGCAGAAGCATGTTCCATTCTATCTTTGCTGTAGTTGAGGAAGACCAAAATGTACTACTTTACTCTTCTCTCATCAGTCCTGCAAAGGAAAAGTGAATTGCAGTACCTCTATCCCTTTCTGCAATATCTCATACAAAGCATACTGTATTTTACATGGGAAAATATGAAGAAACTTGAGCCTCAGAGAAATATCTGCATACTCGTGATACTCTTACATTAAAGGTTCGTATTTCTTCCTAAAGGTGAGAATTCAGCAGCTATGATTGTATTTAAACAAGCAAACAAATAATTTTAAAAAAGCGGGGGGGAGAGAGAAAGTAATCTATGGCTGGATAAATATTCCTCCCTTGCACTGTGGTATTACACTTCTCAGAGAAGGAATGCAGACCTCTAAGCTACAGTGCTTCAACAAATCCACAGAATTTGAAAAACTGGTTACTCCACTGGCTCAAGGTATTTCTGCTTCTTAATTCCTACTATTGTTGCTAATGCACTTCAAGGAATGCTGATGTGTGACTGGATCTGATTTGGCACTGACTATTCAAAAGTGAGATCAATAAGGAATCGTGGTCCCACTATCCCTCCATCAAATACAAGTAGTCAACCACTGCCACTTGGGATTGTTACCATCACAGCATGGTTACCTGCAGGATGAGAAGAGGCTGTTCAATGGTGTACAAAGGCTGCAATTTTATTTGGCTCTGGTTTGTTAGGTACAACTATATACTGTAGATGACTCAGCGTTAACAAGGCTTAGCTTACTTTCTTACAACTGCTTGCTGCAATACTCAATGCATTATCTCATTCACTATCTTCACAGAAAATTAAAATTCTCTTGCAGTTTCCACAAATATTCAGAGAATTGTTAAAAAAACCCAAAGTGCAGTGGTTGGACTAGATGGTGTTGTGGTCATGTACGTCCCTTCCAGCTGAACCCATCAATGCAACACACCCAGAAACAATGTGGGGAAAGATACATTGCGATCCAGGAAAAAACTTCTCCATACTCTTACTCATATTTAATTCCTTTAATTTATTAAATAAATAGCTTTTGCCTTCATGCTGTTATTACCACTAACCTGATGTCCAAGCTAGTACTTTTGCTTTACTATTGGTATTAACAGATGCCCAAGTCCAAAGCCACACCATTATTTTCATTTACTTTGGTTTTGTTTCTAAGTGCAGAATTTGTCTTAGTTTCCAGCTGCCAAAAAAACTGGGACATCAGAGGAGTAAACAGTGGTGGAGGAAGTGAACAGAAAAACTTTGATTTTGTACAATGACACAACACATGAACCAATTTTGTTAAGAATACCATTTTGCTATCAATAAATGTAATTTACATTTTTATTCCTTACAAATAGTTTTGTGTTCCTGAGTGCTTTAACGAAAGGAAAAAAACTTCCAAAGTTTAAATATTACCAGTCTTCTAAGACTACAAAAAGTAACCTTAGACTAATGTCGTTATTTATAAATAAATTCACAATAACATCAGAAGAGACTAGAACAGACAAGCACTGCATTAAATATATATTGTTCCTGAAATTCCGCTTCACGGCTTTTGAAGTTATTGAACAACAAACAGAAAACCACATTCAAAAATATCAGAAAGAAATGAAGAAGGAACAGATAGCATATGCTACACTGTAAGGTGTCACACCACTCTTATAGTAGTCCTACTAGAATTCTTTTCATTCACAGTAAATAAATGGACAGCACAAAAATACAGTGTTAAATCAAAAAGATGCCAGGGAAACAAATGAAGAAAAGTCCTACTTGCCTTTTAACAAATATTCATCAGTGTAATTCATTCTCAGAAGGGCTTTCCTTCTACCTCTTAGGAAAACACCAAAGGAGCTTCCCCTAGATTAAGCCAGATCATTATGAACAACTCATTACTCACGGGATCCATTAAAAACACTCGGGAAGCTGCTGTCAGATTTAATCCAACTCCACCCGCTTTCAGAGACAAAAGCATTATAGTTGCAGACCCTGCTTGGTTGCTTTGGAAACACCGAATTGCTTCCACTCTTTTCTTCTGTGCCATTGACCCATCCAAACGAGTAAAGGCAAACCCTGATTCTCTAAAGAGAAAGTAAAAATGTTCAACTTAACAAGCCATTTTCTGTGACAACAGGAAATAAATACATTAAAATCCTGACCTCTACTTTGAAATGTGTATTTAAAATTCTATTTTCTTTGACAGATCTTTCTAAGACACTGTAAAAACACATGTTTATTAAAAATAACAGTAGTTCTACTTACTTCAAGGGATTTTCTATCAGTGACAGGAAAGTTGTGAATTGAGAAACAACGAGACATTTAGCAGCTGGATTATCCCTCCGCAGTTCTATCAAAGCATGCATAAGAGCATTTATCTGAAATTAAATGAAGCATTTATCTGAAATTAAATGAACTTAGATTCTATTCCTACAGGTGGCTTTGATAAAGTTCGTATCAACTGAGAGAAACCCCTGATAAGTAATGTCTGTTAAATGAACTAATCTCGAATTCTGTGGGTAGGGTTTCTTTTAATTTCCACAGGAAACCAAGGGTTGAGCATTTTTAATGGTCACAAACTACAGGGTGATATTGAGGGTGCTTTGGTCAAAACCTGTTTTCCAGACATAATTCCCACTGTCAGGAAGCAGCAAGTCCCCTGTCTCCAGGGTATATGGAAAATAGGAACAAAGTAGTGGAACTCCAGAAAATAAGGCGTAAGCAATGGACAGCCACAAGGCAAGTGCTTTACTACAGCAATAGTCAGGAACTGAGAAAGGCTTCCCCCAGAAACACTCAGGCAAATAAGCTATGCAAGACCCTTGGCTGGGGATGACAGGGAAAAAGGACACACCAGAAGCACTCTGAAACCAGCATGAGAACAAAAGGAACAAGGAACTGGATTTGAGGCAGAAGAACACTGACAGTTTTCTCATGTAAGGTTTAGCTGAGATAAAGAACCACTAACTAGAGAATGCAAGTAACAGCAGCAGATAACAAACAAACAATCTTAATTTATTCTAGAGGATAATGTCCTAAATTAGTTCTTAGGTCTCCACAGAAAGATTTTCAGGGAATAAATTTGTAACCAGCATTTGAAAGAACAACTACTTCATTAAAAGTAACATGCAGAAAAGCAATCTCAAAACAAAAAGGTCAAAATACAAGCAGGAAGATTTAATTTCTGGTAGCAAATGCACGACAAGAGTTAGGCAAAAAAAAATCATATGGCAGACCTTGACAAACAGGTCTGCAAAGTAAAACAACAATATCTCACCAGTTTATCTGGCAAGTGTTATATGATGCCCATTTAGTTTTCCCCGCTAGAGTAGAATATATATTCTTTATATAAGATGCAAGAAAGGATTTATTTAGATTTTGTTTCCAAAAGTAAATTTAGAGCTGGATAGGTGTCAGTGGTTATAAAACTGCTCTATCTTCAGAAACTGAAACAAAAGACAAAGCCCTTTACCTAAGTTTTATTTAATTAATACATATCTATGTACTGAACAATGACCAGCAGCAAATCACAACTAGTCTTCCTTTTGTCTTGTTTCCCTGCTGCAAAATTTGTCTGTGGTGGGATTTTATTACACACTTTCTTCTGTGCTGGCTAGACATGCTGGGCAGACTTTTAAATAATAATTTAAATATGTTACTCACATGTATAATATATTCAGCATATTTACATAACAATAATAGAGTATGCCCTAAAAAACTATAATGAAAGCCCAATAAAACACAATGGAATGTACCTTTGAACTGGATATCCACTCCCGATCAGGCTTCTTTCCACTACTGGAGTCTATTTCCTCTTCTAGGGGACATTCCACCAAGTGCTCTACTTGAAGTTCATTCCTACAGAGAGGGCATTTGGCATTTGGCTACAAAAAAGCCCAAATAACATTACAAGAAACATATTAAATCAAATTGTTTATAGTGAATACTAAAGAACACCTTTACAAATATTATATTGATGTTCATGTAAAAAAATCCTCAGATTCGTTCTTGTAACACACTGTCATTTCTGACATGACAGTCACAATATTTTACTTGTGAGAACATTAACATGACATAAACACTACATGTTTTAAAAACACTCAGCCTTCCTTAAAAGCAGTCTTCTTTCTGAGCATATTTATACTTGAAATAAGTAACTCAATATTTTAAGGCAAGCAGATACTTGGGCTATGGGGAGATAGACTATTTTAAATATCAGAAAAATAAACCATCCTTCAAAGACTATCTTTCTTAGTTACAAACAAAGAATGACCTTTTACCCTTTTTCTTCAAAGCCTGCACAGAAATAACAGCAGTCTGATGAAATATGCTTTGTCAGGACAAAGCAGGGTATCTTCTCTTTTTCCCCAGCAGACATGAGAAACGAGACATGATTTAACACCAAAAGCTTTTTTCTCTGAAGTATACTCTGGATAATGCAAAATTTATATAATAGCACTTTCATAGGACTCACAAAATTTAACAAAAGACTGTGTACACTGTACAAATACAGAACTTTGTGAAGCAAAAATGACAGACATGAAAAACCTTTGCCTAACAGAGCAACCCTTTAAAATTAGCTAGTTCTGTTTATATAGCAATCTGGCCACAGACCCAAGGCATCTTTAGACAGGCTACAAAGCAGACCTCACAAACCACGGGAATACTGGGGGCTGCTAATCTGGACTGAACTGCCAGCCAATTAAAGAGGCCAGCAGTCACAGTCTGAATACATTAATTTATTGCAACAATAAAGCTATCCTTTCAAGAGACAGAATCTTAACACCAACAAATCTGAAATAACAGCCTCCTAAATGCAGTGAACAAATGAACCATTTCTGATTTGGCACCAATCCAAAAATCTTCCAGTGGTAAGACAAAACAAATGAATTCTATTAAATCTGAAAAAGGTTTTCTGAAAAAAAAAAATCCTAACAGTTCTCATAAAGACTTTTTTTTTCTTTTTAAATACAAAGCTCATGTCTTTCTGCATCCCTTCTCCACTTTAGTACTGCAATTATAAACAAAACACAGCTAAATAGTACCAACGCAGACACCAAACACTTGCAGTAAAAGCATATGAAAACTACCAAAAATGTCTCACAATCAACAGCTAAAAGAAGAAAAAACGTTTTAATGCATATCTGGCAAGTTTTTACAAGAATGCAGTTAATACACAAAGACATTAGATTACTGTAGATTACTGTTTTATAGCTTCATTGGGACTTTTGCATAGGATCTTTACTTATTTGAAACGACTCTGAATTTAGCCTTAGCAGAAGATTGAAATGAAGGTGGTGTTAACTCTCTAGCTGGTAACTACTAAAAAGTTTTTCCAATTTCGGTAAATACTTTTAGGTTAACATTAGAAAAATAAAATGGTCTCCAAGTTCATAGTACAACAAAAGGCCAAACTTTTCACTCAGCAGTTTTGTGTTTGCAGCTTCACATCTCATTGCTCACTGACCGCTTAATGCTGTCATTTGTATTAATAATGGAAAGCACAGGCATCTTGCCTGGAAGAATCCTGTTTAAACACAAGCTGTTTTGGAGAGAGGGTATGCAGTTTGCTGGCTTCCTTTGTTTTTAAGGTGATGGCTGAAAGTACTTCTCCGAGCTATTTACTAGGAGAGAGTTGATTTATAACATTCAGGCACACGACTATCCAACTGAGATGCAGTACTAGCAAAAATACCTATCACGTGGAAACACTGAATTCCCCAACTTTGGAATTTAGATGTGTGCCAGTGTGGAAATTGATAGATGCAGATTAACCAAGACAGCCACCACTCACAGATGAAGTGTGAAGACAGATTTATTCCATCATTTGCAGGAACACATACACACTACTGAATCCAAACTCAGCAGGGGCAGAAAGCACCAGGAAGGCCCCAGCCTTGCCTTACTTACATACCAAAGCCTAATGCATGTGAAAAGGGTCACCAGCAGCCTGCGCTTTCACAACTCTGAACTCTCTATCCCCCTTCCCCCCAAGTCTGTGGGAAAGAATGCTTTTAAGTCTTTAACAACATTCTGTTACCTTCCTTGAGAGAATTCCATTTCTTTCAACAGACAGAAAACAACCCAAAGGAAACACAGGGTGTGAAAATTCCCACAGTGAAACACTATTCTTAGCACTCTCAGCTGCAAAGGTATCTCAAGTAAAAACAGCTAAAGAAAAACACCCCCTCATCAAATCTTCCGCTTGCAACCCCTTTTCAGTCAGTGTTCAACACAGGCAGCATTCTGGCTGGAAGTTGCAATAACTTTCTTAGGAATTGGTTTAAATCAAGAATCATATTGAGGGTAAGAAAGGCTTATTTGTTCACTGTTTCAGAAACTCATGATAGTTCAAAAGAAGCTACACCCACCTCTGTTTAGACTTCACTACTATGAAAGTAATCTATGGAACAACATGGTATTGGACAAAGACACTAGTTCTGGAGATTCCACAGTCCTTTCTAGGTAAAACATAGTAAGTAACTTGACTGTAAAGTCAAGTAATATACTATAATAATTCCATCACATCATATCCCAATTTATTTCTCTGCATGTTAAAAACACCTGATGGTTCAGCAGGGGCACCAACTCTGACACAGACACATCAAGAACCTCTGCACTGGAAAAAGGCCTCTGCAAGTGCTCTTTCCTTAAAGAATAATTTCACAACACTAGTTTCCCTCAAATTTCTCAGAAACTCTAGAGTGGGATATCTGCATCAGAACCTTGTGTATCTGGCAACAGAACAAAGCTATCTACAAGCCAGACAGACAGCACTTCCCACCTCTATCTAGTTGACTGCTTATGCACAAGCAAGGACTAATCTGTCCCCTCCTGTCTCCTAATAAAGAACACCCAGGTTTAGGCTGGCAGTTGCAGCTCTACTCTGGCTAGGAGGAGGCAGAACAATTCCAGAGAGTAAGTGCAGCAGCACTCAATACATATGGTAAGACTACCACAGAAAGGAAAGGGCAAACAAGAAAGAAAAGCACAGCTTAGAAGCATGCAAGAAAAATAAATACTATGGTTTTCAAAAAAGCAATCAAAAGATGCTCATCCACAAGTTTATTCTGGATAGAGTTCAGAGAGGGTCATAAAGATGGCCCTCTAACAAGGCAGCTATTTCACAGTAGAAGTTTATCAGCTTGGAAAACGGAGCACGGACGTGATTTTTGTTCAGCAGTCAACTTCCAATACACAGCTTTAGTCTCTTTTAAGCACAACATACACATACATGACACCACACACAAGCAGTGAAGAAGCATCCAGCCACATGGAGGCATACAGTGCTGCACACTTTGACCCTAGGGACAAAGTAAGGTGAGAACTACGGAATCGGTCTTTGATCAGTGGTGAGGTAAGGTCCATCAGTATTTTCAGTTTGACAGCTACTCTCCCCACAGTTTGACTTCAGACCAATAGCTTTTATAAGCCAGCTGATAACTACATTTACACTGTTCACCATGATTTAAAAGAAAAATAGACAGATGGCCTCCTGCTGATACTAGTTCATTGCTTTCGAATAGCTATTACAATTAATTGTAATCATAGAACAACCAACCTGTTCATTTCTGAGGACTTCAAAAATACATGGTTTACAAAACACATGTGCACAGTGTGTTATCACAGGAAGAGTCAATGATTCCAAGCAAACTGCACATTCTTCATCTGAACCAGAGCTCAGAACCAACTTCATTTTACTCACTAATCTCACATGCAGTTCTTCGGGAGTTCTATTATCTGGAAATATAGAAACATACTTAAACCCAGAGATTTCCATAAAGGAAACACTGAGCTCTCATGCATCAAAACAGCTCCATTGGTCAAAATGCAATTAGAGTAGTTTATACACAATGAGGATATAGCCTACAATATATAAAAACACAAGATGCCCCAAACTACAGAAAATTTTAACCTACTAATTCAAAACACATTATGAGTAATCATACTTGGAAAAATAGTCATTTGAATTCAAAGAACCTCAACTGTATGCTCAGTGGTAAGTATATGTGCAACACAATGCCTAACGAGAACAAGCAATTTTCATGTGGCAGCTGTTCAAATAGCAAAAATCTTACGAACATGACACTATTTACAGTTAAAATAGCTTCTTTTTAAGTAAAGAAATTCAATTCATACTTACTAGTTATTAATTAATTTCTAAATAATTATGGAACAATTATCAAATAATTTCTCCATCCTGTAATTTTAAGGAAGATAAACAGTAACCTTCTGAAAAAGGTTCTGACCATATCACTGGTCTTTCAGTTTCCTGAAAAATCACACCCATGCCAATGGTATCTCAAAATAGGCTTTTTCTAAATATTACATTTGCAAATTCTCAAATTTAGAGTATTTCAACCACACTATACTTTTTTCTGAAAGAAATGCACATAAATTTTTAATGCTACGCAGTTGTATAGTTCTGGCTTGTCAAAAATAAAACTTCACTCTCGGTCCTCTGTGTTCACCCTTCCTTACAGCTGTGACAAAGTCAACAGTGTCCTATTCTGCTGAAGAGGCAATGGTTCTGCTGACACAGCTATCAATTTACAAGCCATTCCCCAAATCTCCTCTACATCTTCTCTCCTGAGGCAAAGAAAAAAATCTGCTATAAAAGCACTTCCGTAAATTATTACAACAACAGACATGCTGCTTTTTAATGAGCCTTCTGCATTTGGTTCTGCAGAGGTCCTCTTTGGTCATTTCTGTATGGGCTGTCAAAGCTTATTAACTCTTGCTTCTGGCCTTCATAACTACTCATACTTCATTATTTCATTCATATGTTAGAATGTGCTCGAGTATCCCCTCCTGAAACATTCAAATCTATTACGGTACAAAAAAAATAAAGTAACTGAAGGAAGCTGAAAGTTCAATAATCCATGCTGAAAAGAGGATGGTTGAAGCTAGAGAGCTTGGAAAACACAAATACATTTCTGTTCTTGAATACAAAGTGCCAGTTCTTGTTCTTAAAAACCACAGGAACCAAAAAGTATTCACTCACCATTTGAAAAACCAGCAGAGGTATTTATACAAAGATGAGGATGACAACAAATCTGTCTTAATCTGAGCAGAACACCAAGGACGTCAGCATAATGAGCTAGTACATTCCCTTCACTGAAAAATCTGAGTAAGAATTTTTTGGTTAGTGTAAAATACTACAGCCTGAAAAAACAGATGACATTACATGATAAGAGTTTAGCTGTTACAATGATGTTCTGATTGTTCACTTTCCTGTCTGACTACCTTTTCTCAAATGCTCTTCTTAAGGTACAAAATGTTACCCGTAGTATGTTCTACTGGAAGAAACATTAACACATGGTGACAAAAGCTTTAAGGCCATTCTTTACATATCTGGTATCTCCTTCCAGTTCTCACAAGACAGAACTTCTAATATATAGTTCTGTAACACTCTCTGCTTCACTCTTCAGAACTGCACAGATGTGAAGATAATTTGCAATTATTAGCCTACAACATACAAACTGACACACTTGGCTACTACAGCTAACATAATCAAAAGTTCCGAAATATAAATTTGTGGTATTAAATTTCAATCTTCAGGATAAAGAAAACCTCTGACTTACCTGCTAATAGTAGCTTTGCCCTCATTCTTCACAGACTGGTAGATTTGTCTCTCCTCTTCTGTAAGCGTAACATACTGAATAAGTACTTTACGCTCTGGTAAATGCAAAATGGGTGTTCCTTTAACTCGACTTGTTTTAGATCTTCTAAGGGTAATACTCCTAATCAGAGACTGTAAACGCCTAAAATATATATATATAGACAATACATTACTCAACTGGGGTTGGTTTGCGTTTTTGGGGTTTTTTTCTTCAGTTTACTGCATAAATTCATGTTTTGTACAAATTTCAAGCCCAGTAGTACAATATAACTCATTAATCTGAAATATAAACAATTTTAATTATTTGATATTTACTAATTTGAACTAAAAAAATTGAAATAAGAACCGATGATACATGCATTTCAAATTTAAATGTGAAACATGAATTTGTCATGTTGCCCAAGCACTGCTAGTTATACTCATTCACAAACCCTTTGGGAACACTTCATACCCAAGTCCTCCTGGAGCTCCCATTGTGACTGGACGTTGAATTGTTCTGTGCCACCACTCTCGATCAGTAAAAGGCTTCACTTTTAAGAAGGAAATAAGAGACCACAAATCTTTTACAGAATTCTGAATAGGAGTGCCTAAACAGAAAATGAAGACAGTAAAACCTCAAGGAAACTAAAACTCACAAATTTTTACCAAAGTGCAAATTGTGTGCTTTCTCCTAATCTCAAAACTAGGTTGGCATGTCATTAAGTATAATATTATTTTTTAAGTAAAATATTACAAAACACTCAAATACATAAGAGTGAGCAAACTGCAGCTCTCAGTGTCAGGATGTTGAATGTTATCTTTCCATTTCAGCTTCACCACTAGTGGTCATGATCTTTAAATTACATTTAAGGATCATATGCTTGCATGACCTGTGGTAGTTTTTATGATTTCATGAAGCTACTGAGGTTTGGATAAGTATGTATCAGTGTAAGCTTCTAACCAAACATAACTTGCTAACTTCATAAATAGGTCTGTTTTTACTTGTACTGCCACCAAACTTGTGTATCAAAAGTTATTTTGAATTTTCTCTGTAATCACTGAATAGGTCAGGCTAGAAGGGACCACAGCAGGTCACCTGGTCCCACCTCCCTGCTCAAGCAGAGTTAACCCAGAGCACATGGCATAGGATTGTGTCCAGACAGTTCCCATGAGGGAGACTCCACATCCTTTGTGATCTCTTCTCCAGTGCTCAGTCACTGCACAGGAAAGAAGTTCTTCCTTATGTTCAGGTGGAACTTGCTGGGCACCCCTGAGCAGAGCCTGGTCCACCCTCTGACCCCTCCCTGCAGACACTGACAGACATGGATGAGGTCCCCTCTCAGTGTCTCTTATTGAAGCTGAACAGCTCCAGCTCCATCAGCCTTTCCTCAGAGAGATGCTCCAATCCCTTCATCATTTCCACAGCCTCCACTGGAGCCACTCAGGGAGCTCCATGTCCTTCCTGTCCGGAGGAGCCCAGACCTGGACACAGCACTCCAGCTGTGCCTCACCAGCACTGAGCAGGGGGCAGGATCACTTCCCTGACCTGCTGGCAATGCTTTTCCCAATGCAACCCAGGATCCCATTGGCCCTCTTGGACCACAGGATACACTGCTGCTGTTGGCTGTTGGCTGTCCACCAGCACTCCCAGGTCCTTCTCCACAGAGCTGCTCTCCAGCAGGTCACCCCCAGCTTGTGCCGGTGCACGGGGTTATTCTTCCCCAGGTGCAGGACCGTGCACTTGCCCTTGTTGAATTTGGGGCGTTCTTCCCTGCCCATCTCTCCAACCTGTCGAGGTCTCTCTCTGAAGGGCTGCACAGCCCTGGGGAATCAGCCACTCCTCCGGCTTTGTGTCATCAGCGAACTTGCTGAGGAGGCATCTGCCGCCTCTTTATCCAAGTCACTGACGAACAAGTTAAACAACACTAGGCCCAGTACTGAACCCTGGGGGACATCACTAGTGACAGGCCTCCAACTAGACCCTGTGCCACTGATTACAGCTCCCTGGCATCTGCAGTTTAGACAGTTCTCAATTCACCTTAATAACGGAATAAAACAAAAAAATAAACACACGCCCACCCTCACAAAAACCCCCAAACAAACAAATATGCAAAAACAAGCAAAAAACCCACAACAAAACAAAAAAACCAACCAAGCAAACAAAATCAAAAACCACTAAATGAAGACCCAACTAAATCACTGCTCAAAGACAACATTCCAAATGAAACTGAGATAGGCAGACATTAACTATTTCCAAAAAAAGCCAAAATGGAAACACCATGTGGGAAACACAAGATGGTGCTCTACTAAGGAAGTTTGCATTGCATTTCCTCTGGTGGCAAATATTTTACCTGTAAGTACCCATCTTCTACGTCCCTCCAGATTTAAGGCAGCTTTAGTTTGCTGAGCATTTGGGTTTCGTATAGTGTGCCCCTCATCCAACACAATTCTCAGCCACTTGACTTTGTGCAAAGGGCTATCACCTCTGATCTGAAAAACAGCTTTTTTTAATCTTTGATTCAAGTTAAAACACCTTTTCTTTCAATTTGGATAAAGCAAGATACTAATACAATAATCCCACTGTTAAAAACGGATAGTATTTGTCTGCATCTTGTTTATTTATCTGCACAGAAAGGCAAAACTAAGAGTAAGGCTTCCTGCTTTTAGATTTATTGATTCCTGGAAAATGCTACTGATCTCCTCATACTTGAGCTACAGTAAAAATAAGCTAAGGCTGAAAAGAAAAAGCGTTTCAATATGGAAAATGGATCAGAGAGCAAATTAGAAGTTTATATCATATTTAAAGATGTAATCTTCAGGCTTTTAAAAATGGTTGTCATTTCTATGAAAACATGACTTTACAAATACATCTCATGCAATGAGCTACTTGGTTGAAGCCCACGTGCAACAAGAACTATGAAATTATACTTTTATATGCTCCATATTCTTCAAATTTGATAGGACAACAGAAATGGGAGCTTCATGCCACCAGCATCTGGGGAGATTTGCATACTTGACACCCTTTTCTATCCTTAAAAAGTCCTTTCCTTAAGTTGTCATAATTGCAATCAAATAATTTTCTGTAGAGCAGCAGTTAATAAAAAACTCTGTTACCACAGTGAATACATCAGAAAGTATGTAAAAGCAAAACCACAGCTATAATCTTTTGACTGCCTACCAGAATAGCACTTGAATATACTGCCATCATTAGCCCAAACACTACAAGTTCTTAACAGTAAGGAATCTTCAAACACCTTCTCATTTACTTACCCCATAGTCAGTAGCTAAAATGTTGTATGTTGTCAATACAATGTCTTGTTCTGAAAGAACCGATGGGTCTTTGCTACGGTCAGAACCATAATAAACATAAATCTTTACATCAAAATCACGGTGGATATGTTGTTCAAACTGGTCCTGAAAGAAAAGTTGTCAAAAGTAATCAAAAACGTATTGTGTTACTAAATGATTGTTGGAATTATTCTTCTTGTAAGTTGTTATTATTAGTAATATTATTCTCGTAAGTCGCCTTACCTAAAACCCACTTTCTCTAGCTCTACATCCACTTATACAACAAAAGCAATCTGAATTTGGGTTGCTTTTTACTCTCCACCCAGGTGTGAAGAGGGACCAGAAGTAGTCACCTCAATCATTAGTAACAGACATTGTATCACACTGTGGTAACTCTAGGTTTACTTCTTAGAGTGTATTGGTTTACAAACTGATGGTATATGCACTGCAAAATGCACTGTTCCTTACAAACTGTAATGGAAGAGCTTTTACGTTCTTTTTCACTTTCTACCTTAAACATCTCTTTGTTTATTCTTTTACTGTTTGTTTTTTCCTACTTCTCATTACTGGGTTAACCACCTAAGTTTTTTTTAAGCATAAAAAAGTTATGTTAGAAAAAAATTCAAATATTAATTGTAAACCCAGTGTTTATATTCTCTATATTTGTTCTGTGAAAGACTCAGTATACAGTAATCTTGACAGACAATAAAAATCAACAATTTTATTTCTGAAGCACCAGACTGAAGTTTTCTTTTAAAATACTTAATTTGTCTTGAATTGACAAAAAGTACTTTGTTTACACCATCTGATGTTTCTCAATTATATGATTTTCATGTTTCACCTACAAAGATTAAACTAATGTTCTAAGCACAGACAGTAAAATCTTCCAAATGGAATACAACTTGCAAGCTAAAGATATCTCCTTAATATTTGTATTCAAAATGTCATGAAAACAAAAAATTTAACTAATGCAGAGACAGAGCTAGAATGGTCCTTCAGCCTTTTCCCCACAGCAGATTTACTCCCACAGATCAGCACCACTATCACCAAATTACTGAACTCCTCTAGTAAATCAACTGTCACATGCATGATCAATGAAGTACGAGAATATTTCATTCTGAGCATGTAAGAAAAAGGACCCATTTCCTTCCCCTTCCGCAGCTTGTTTAAAGAGGTAAATCACACAAGTTCCAGAAGTGACAAAGTGAATCTGCCTAGCCAAAAAAGCAGGGAATGGAAAGAGAGCTCACTACTGACAGAACTGCACTCTCCTTACAATACTAGTCCAGTTTTGTATTTCTATCATATCAATCTCCCTTGTGAAAGAAGCTGTTTCATAAAAAGGAAAACCATGACCTTTTACTATCATGAGAGACTACAGGGAGTACTATTTCTACAGCATCATAATCAATATAGACTACATTTACATCTTAAAACGGCTTAGCACTTACAATCCAGTTGCTTAGGACAGACAGTGGGCACACAATCAGTGTTGCTCTGGGGCCATCATCAGAATATTTCTTCTCAACTGACTGAACACTAGCAGTACCTGAGAAAACAGAAGCCATTTAGTGGTGAAACAGTTCACTTTAAAGCAAAGTAGAAGTTACGGATCCCTGAAGATCTTCACCTGAAGAGCATTAAAGCAATTTAAAAAGACATATGCTTCATTTATTAAATATGTATAATATTTAAGCTTAAAAACCCACAGAAATTATCAATTCAGCCCTTCGTTACCTTTTCTCTTTCTTTGTCTTTTTAAACAACCAGATGAAGGTAGAAGAACAGATGTAAAACCTGGATCTTCTTGGTTAACACAAGAAGTTGCTGTAAAAAGCCAGACAAACAGATTTTTCACACCATGCAGAGCATATGCCTATATTTATTTTTATGACGCGTTTCATAAAAGTTAAATTTGTTAGCCAAAGTACTTCGCCTCTCCAGTATAATAATATAAAGTCTCTTGTGTTGGAAGGAACCCATAAAGATTATCAAGTCCAACTCCCTGTTCCTCACAGGACTGCCTAAACTAATCCATATGGCTAAAAGCAGCCTCCAGACATTCCTTGACATCTGACATGCATGTGTGCAAAAATACAGTATATTATACATCAATTTTAAGTTTCAAATCTTCAGAGGAACGCAGTTTCCCAGTCATTAAAAAAATACATTGTTTAGCACAGGTTTCACTTCAAGTGCTTTAAATCTAAACTTAACTGCTTACTCTAGAGCACCTGCAGACCTTAATATTTTTTTTCCATGCAAGACACTTAGTTCAACAAATGACATATTATTACCTCTTCATGATCACATTTCAGGTATTTGCCACAAAAGATGTTTTTCAAACCCTACTGCCCTCACAACAATGTCAATTGTCAATATGTCAAATTCTAAAAATCTTAACAATTCTGGTTTTCATCATCCATTTGACCCTGCTCACAGCTTGTTACACCACCAGTCACTCAGCAAAGAATACAAACTACAACTGGAGTAAATATTTAGGATTAAAATATTGCTTTCCCTTTCAGCAATTTCTAAAATTTTATGCTTAAAGTTCTGGTTAAATAAAAAACAAACAAATAAAAACTCCCTAAACCTACTAACCAAACAACAGAAAAAACCCAAGTATTTTAGTTAATTCCTTTTCCGGTTAATCAGAAATCCTTTCCAGTTTGGCTTTGAAAGGAAGACACCAGGTGTCACAGTAACCAATTAAAAAAAAACACAAAAACATCCTTGCAACTTACTTTCTGTTTGTTGCAGTAGCCATTCTTCAGACTCTTCCAAGTCACTGTTTCCTGAATGTCTGGGTTTCTTGGCTTTATCTCTAAGATATAATTATTAAGAAAGAAAAAATGAAAACAGAACAAAACAAACCCACAAGTCTACTATTGCTTGAATTTACACATTAAATCTCAGGAGCAGAAGGCAAATTAATTTCATATTGCAAACAAGATACCGTGATTTGAAAATTTTCTCTTCAGAAGAGTTAGAAAAAGGGAAAGCACAGGAAACAGCTGCAGAGTGAATGATAATCATAAACTTGCTACAGATTATCACTGAAGTTCACATCAATTATAAGAGGCTATTGTGGTGGGAAGGTTCAGACCCATTAATAAGCTTCGCAACTTCATCAGATCAAAGTTGTCTCTGTCATAAGCATGCCTGCAAAGTATTTCTTAACCACTTAAAAACCCAACTGATACTAAAAGGAAGATTATTTCTTAGCCAGTTTTTTAGATGCCTTACACAGATGTTATTAGGCACCTTTACTTCTGAATGAGATATACAAGCATGCAGTGACAAGCCACACAGAACGGGTTAATGCTTTTTTAATATGTTCCAAAGTGCAACTCAAATACAGAACACTTATGATAAATGTAAGCAGAAGCACAGAATACTGAAAGGTGAGGAAGAGAACAAGTACGTATTTTAGACTAAGATTAATTATAATCAAGTACCGCTTTAATTTTACTCAAAACCTATGTAGCAAACCAACAACAAGACTATTCCAGCTATATACCTTTTAGGAAGACAACTTGGGTATTTCAATGGAGTAGTTCCGAACTTTTTTACATTAGAAACACCAGGCTCCATCACATTGCTAGAGTCTTCATAAAGAAAAAAATGGTATTTATGAAAAATATACATAGTCTTTAGCTTGGTTATCAAACCAACTTTAGCATAACTTGATCAAGAACAAGTACAAACTTCCACTAAAACAACCTTTAGCTGTTTAACAATACTTACTACTGCATGGGACAAGAGTTACTTACTGATATTATGATCACAAATGAAAAAATAAACAGTCTTAAATATTTAAAAAGTCATAAAATGTGTACTGGGTTTGCAGGTAGTCAAAACCAAACTGTCAAGAAATAGGAAAAAGCAAATGAAAGCATTTTACATTTAACAGTAAGGGTAAAGTTTTAAATAACACTAAATTGTAAAGGTTTTTTACAGGTCACACCTCTAAATACTAATAATGATATCTACATTGCCTAAAACTAATAACATCAACATAAACAGAAAAAACATGACAACATTGCAGACTGCAGAGGAGATGTTATTTTGTTTTGCTGGGGTTTCTTTAAGGTCTTCTATTATGAAGTGAACAAAAAGTCACCTCTGCACCCTGATGAAAATAGCATACCAGAAGCAAACACACACAAAAAAGACATTAGAACAGAGTTGATATCAAAACTGAAAGCAACGTTGCTTGCAGAAATAGTTTTGCTATAACTCAGGTAAGTAAATTCATTCTCGAATTCCAGATTTAAACGCCAGTAAATATACATATAAATATATTTGTAGAATTAAAAGAAAGTTTAATACAATCCTGAAGAGGGCAAAATTTTCAGAGATTCAAGAAATAGGTATCAACTTAATGTACAACAGAATCAGAAATGGGAGCAGGAGAGTGTAAGGCTTTGGAAGACATTATCATCACTTTCTCAGATTAAATAATAGTAGAAACAGGCTCTTCCCTCACTGCTGTAAACAGTATTTCATTAAAATGCTCGATGCTCTGGAAAAAAAAATCTTGCATGCTGCTAGCCATGTCAGCTTTGGTAAAGGTTATGATTTTTTGGTGACACTCATATTGACCCCCATTAAAGTATGCATTTTCTCCCTTCCAGAGAACTGACAAAAATAACTTTCACCAGAAGCAGTTCATACTAATGTGTTCTCTCCTTATTGGTCCCTTTTATTTCTCATGTGCTACCATCTATATTAAAATTCCTTCCACAGGAGGACAGCAAGCAAAAGTTACTGCAAGAAAACTTCAAGCCCCATACATTTCTTCAGTCATTTTCAAGAGCATGATGAGTTATAAAACATACTAACAGCATGTATAATTTTTATATACATCTATAAATTTTCCTAATACAACCTGAAAACTAGAGGTGTGATAAAATCCTTCTAAATACTTGCAATTTCCTCATTACCTTAAAATACTTCCAAAAAAAGTGACTTAATACAGAACCTAATTACAATTTAACTACTGATGTTTACTGTTTAAACAAACAAGATTTTAACAGATGCATAAGTGCTCCTGTTTTACTTACAAGGAAGGAAAAAGAAAAGCAAAAAGATCTCAGAACCCATTTCCTGAATGTGGTAACTTTCCTAGCAGGGTGCAATTTTATCACAAGCACTTGATCTTCTCATGTGCCAACTGAAACACTTTAAAGGTACGTTTTATTTACTTCTCCGAGATAGTTTGTCAAGGGTTTGTGAAGACTAGCACTGACTACAGACAAAAAGTGCCCTAGGTAATAACATTAATTATCATGCAAACATTACTAGACTGGTAGATTAATTTGCAGTCACCTTTACAAAGTCCACGTCCAACGCTGTTCATGCTGTTAGCAGCAGATTCCTATTGAGGAATGGAAACTTTTATTCTTTAGTGTAGCAACTGGAAAAAACACCAACGTTATTACACTAAAATGACTATCGATTAATTACTGCTCTGAAACATGAAAGACTTGCCCAGTGGCAAGTCAGTCACTCAAAGGTACTGACAAACTTCTTTTTTTTCAGCAGCCACATACAGAGTTTCATTTAAACTGCAGAGAAGCAGAGGAGAGAAACTCAGTCTACACAGCTGTCCTAAAACACACTAATAACATTTCCCAGTTTAACATTCTGAGGTCAAACACAAAGCATTATTTTGTTAAAGTTAGATGAGTATGGTAAAACAAAACCCCAGCCTTAACACTGTCAGGGAATACTGCATAAAACATCAACTAATTCTAGCATTTAGTTTATTTCACCATCTTGAAAATCATGTCATAATGAAAGCAAAAAGCACTTAAGTACACTAAGCAGAGTTTGTACACTGGTGTTAGTTCACCAACTGTAGTTTCCCGTCCTCTCCTCGTTTCAAATATTGGGCAAAAATATAAACCGAGATTGATTGATTTATTTACTTTACATCAAGACCCTCTGCTCGCTTTGGTCGTTTCAGGTACTTCCTCTAAACCACACAGGAATTATGCATGCACATTCCCAGAAAAAACACCACATCTATTTGTGCACCCACAACTTACCTATAGGAGAAATCTGTAAGAAACTTCTGAACAGTAAAGACATTTATGTCATCCTAAATTCTTCCCTAGACTATATGTAAGCAAACACTCCTAAGATAACAGTCTACAGTTCAATTAAACACTCTGAAATAACACAGTCCACCCACCTTCAATTCATCTACCCAAACTCCTCTTGTTTGGCATACTTGAATAACTTTTTCTACAAAACGTATAAAAAGTTCACCATACAAAAACTTACTGGGCACAGGTATTTTTAACTGCTATATCAACCATTAAAACAATCTTTTTCTTTCATCTCACCTCATAAAACTTATCACTTGTGATCTTTTCAACAGGAAGGGGCTTGCCATCTTGAAAATTTGTGAGAATCAATGCAATAGTAGTAAGTGTTTTACCCTGCATAATAAAAAAGAACATCATCTTTTCCACAGATGAAAAGAAACCAAATGATCAACCAATCAAGAAGCATGCACACACATTCTGTCAAAAAGAATTCAAGCTTAGCAAGTATTACCAGTCCCATATCATCAGCCAGTATTCCTCCAAGAATATTTTGAGGTCGTTTCTTTTCTGCATAATTTGTCAGTGTATTGTAATAGAAGTTACTTCTCTCTTCCCAAAATGGTGGCAAATCATTAGTGTTTTCACGTGAAACCATCCAACCTAAAGCCTGCTTCTGATGGGGAAGTAAAAGTGTACCAATAGCCTGCAAGTCAAAGATACACATTATGCATTATTCCCATATTAAACATGACGCTCCATTTTTGGAAGAAAATTTTTTTATAAAGTCCTCTGTATCTACTTGATTTTTTTCTGATTCAAGTATCTTCTGTATCCAGACAAAAGTAAATATACATCTAGATGCTTAAGTAATTGTATTTTTAAAAAAACAGTTTCTAGCTTAAAAAATACCTCTGCTGCTTCCATTTCACAAGTTTTATCGTCTTCCTTTAGGTCCTCAAACAATTTGTCAAATTCACCTTTAAGCTGAATAAATGAACACAAAAACTGCAATTAAAAGTATTGCAATTAAAAATAACCTCACTAAATAAACAATTACTTTATTAAATTACAATTACCTGACATACAGTAATCCGTAAATATAGGTCTACCATTTTAGACCTGATTTGCTACACTACAGCCAAATAAAAAATAAGTTCAATAAGTTTTTACCAAGAAAAATGCAAGCCAATATGAGCAAGAGCTTTGGAAGGAATGGCTAAATATATTCACATCCTTGCCCAATACTCACTAAAGTAACTATTTTGCTCTCATTTGAAAGAGTAAACAAAGAGCAAAATCAAAGCACCACCCAACCCTTCACCTATCAACCTAGACCAAACCTGAAGATAAAATCTGAAAGTCTCATTTTATTTTGAGAACTTAACATACTTGTTATCTGGTAAAGCATTAGGTCAGAGAAAATAAAACATGCCACAACAATGTAAAAAAACTATTGAACAACCAAAAACCTCCCAAAATTACACAGCACTCAAGGCTGTCATAGCTAAAATGTCTGCTTACAGTACAAAAAATGAAAAAAATTCAAAAGCTCAAGATGACTTCAAAAGACATCTGTGGTCAGAAAAGAAATAAAAAAAAGCAACGGACTTCCACTTCAGAAACACTCTTTTATTAATGAAAAAGTTAAGGGTTCCCACTGTTAAAATTGCAGCTCCCAGCTGTTTAAGTGTGAAATGCAAACCTGTTCAGTTGTCAATGGCACAGCAGCATGAACCGGAGCGCTGTAGCTTGGACCAGCTCTCCCAGAAATCCACTTTGATCCAAAACCATATTCTGAACCTACTTGCCATTAAAAAGATAATACTTTGAAATTCAGTGATACCATGACCTCACAATCTCCACATTCTCTGGCTCATGAGCAACAATGCTGGTCAGATTGTGGGCTATCAAACAGTATCTTTCACCATTAGTCTTTTAGCCTCAATTTATCCTTGACTTTCAATGACTGCAAAGGTTTTACACAAAGCTTAAGACCCACAGCTATGGACTGGGATACTTCAAGATGGCGACCATGTTTCTTAAAAATTGTTGCATTACATGAAATCTGACTTGGTGATAGTATGATAATGATAACACAAAATACCTTTTTACTCCAAACTCTTTTTTTGTTACCTATGCACAATAGAACCTACAGTACAAAAACCGAAATCTTGCTACATGTAAAACACATCTATCCCTCACTAAACGTTTCTTTCTGCAGCATCCTTACTCCTGACTACCACTGCTTGAACAGAGTCTAAGTCCAGGAGCCACAGGTGTTTTTTTGTGTCAGGCTCACTCTGAAAAGCATCAGGTTTACTAAACTTATTTGTTCAGAGACATCTCATCTGCTTGCTCATTTCTCACTAGTAGGATACACATCCTAACACTCTGCTAAAAAGCAGCACTTTTCCTGAAACCTTCACCCTGAAAGGGTGTTTCTTAACCTGTTTCTCAAAATTTTTTTCAAGTCTAGAAAGATGCAGGGGATCATTATGGATTTTTAAGGAACTTACGTAATCTACTATATTTCTGAGGATGTTCAAATGCCTCTCCAATTGCTGGCAGGTAACATAAAAGGCAGGACACAAAAGCATACTACTTACGAAGTTTAAAATTAATAGCTGCGAGTTCTGCATTATTCCCCAACTAAGTTAAAAAATCATTCTGTGAATGACAAGACTAACATGAAGATTAAGCCCTTATAAGCATTTCTTCCAACAAGTGTCAAGTTCAATCAAAACATTTTTAAAAGGAAAAAGTCCAAAATTTCAATGCTTACCTTTCAGAGGAGGAGCCAATTTAAATCCATGCCTTTTTAGCTGATCTAGCACTGCTTCCTTGTTTTCTTCTCTTCCCCAAAAGCTCAATTCCACAGGCATGGTGAAGGAATTTTTTGCTCCATAAGGGACAATCCTGATAAAGACCAGGAAAAAAACCCACAGCAGTAATCTCTTAATTGTTTAATTTTTTTAATAATAAACCTTTCTTGACCAACAGGTACTCCAAAGTGCTTATTTGTATCAAAACACAGAATGTTCCAGATAGGTGATAGTAATCACACTGCGTAAACCTTTTATACAAACTACAACATGCCATTAAGTGTTCCACAACAATCTTTACGGAATTTGCTCACATTACTGTTTCTGCATTTTATTATATATGGGAAAGAACAAACTGTATGCAAACAGTTCAACAGAATAAAGAATCTGAAAATATGAAGCTCTAAGCACATTACCAAGAGCCGTAATTTCTGTCAAAAGAGAATACTTACAAATAGTTTTCAGAATTTGCTAGTGTAGCAACAAAAAAATGATTCCATATATTCGTGGAATCACAAGGAACATATTCACACTTACCCTTCAACTACTGCTAGTTTGTTGTCCATAATCCCTGCCAATGCTGCCGCAAGTTCTTTTTTGATATGGCCTACCTGGTCTCCATTCACATTATTTACTTTCACTGCATTTTTATCATAAGGATTATTGGGCTCCCTCTGAAGTGCAACCATTTCATTGTTATTAACCTAACAAAGCAAAACAGACAAACACCAAAATGCATTCATTTAGTTGCAAATTATTTAAAGAAATATAACATCATGAACTTAAACATCATGAAGCTTAAAGATTAATTTGGCATAGCACTCTGTTCAGACAGTCCAATAATCTACTACTTCCTCAAAATACCAAACACATTACAGAAGAGATAGATGTCAGTGATTTCAAAACTATTCCTGAGAGCAAGAACTATCTTCAATTGCTAACATGTTTTATAAGGTAATAAACATCCTTTTTTTGCTCATGTAAACAGTTTAAAAAAAACTATCTAATTTCTTGTATTCAGTCACTTTCATTTGCCTTATGTGGATGAGCAGAGCTACCAAACAACTAAACTAGAACTGAAAGCTTGCTATCTTAATTAAATTTTGAATTAAAGTTTTAGATTAAGAACTTCCCATTAAGAAGGCTGAATATCGCAAGTAAGGGAAAAAGACACAAAAAACCCACCAACTATTAGAATTATATCTGGTCAGCAGTTCTATGCATTTCTGAAATTTATTTAAATCTTATTTTCTGAAGCTAAAAACTTTATCTTCTGCTTTGTAATTTATCAGGCACTTACAATCCCTGTGTAGTATCGTAATCCAACAATGCTTCCTCGCAAAGTTCCATATAAAATAGCTGAGTCCGTATCCTCCTCTGCTACAGAACTGTCACCTAGAAAGTCAAAGTCTTTCAATGCAAGACTGGAGTAGAAGTCAGAAGAGGAAGAGCAGGAGTAGTTTCTCTCTCCTCTGCAGGTGTTATCTTGAGAGCATCCTCTTGTAGAGTCTCTGCAAAGACAAATGTGACATACTGGACAGTAATTATTATTGTTGTTTCCTTGTAATCTTTTATCCCTTTATGTAAGGCTACCTATAAACTCATTTTATCACTTTACTCAGATAACATTTACCTGGAAACATTCAAAAAAGTTTTTTACTAGGAAAAAACTTTGTCTGCCACTTTTAATCTCAAACACATTAATTCAAGCCAATTACAATAAAGAGCTGACAACTGACCAAACTGCAGTATTTGTGTATTCCTATTTTTCCTCACAGGATTATCTTTGTCAATGTTAAGATTTCTCCACATTAAGTTATATCTCTAATTATACCTGGCACAGCAAAATTCCCTTGTATTTGCTTAACATGACTTTTTCTCATCTAAGAAAAAGGTTAAAATGACCCATTTGTAACTGATTAACTCTGTATAACTTTACATCTGTATCCACAAATGTTGAACAATGCTAAAACAACTGTTCCCTACGTATTTATTTAGTTTACACCTGCACACCTTGACATCCAGTGCCACTTCATTATAAACTTCAGAGCTAATCAGTTACTCCAACCCAACCCGGATAATTACACTATGTATCTCTAATACAAATTTCTGTCAGGGTGGGTCCCCTCTTGTTGAAGGGATACACCTGGAAACTCACATTACTGGGTGACACTAACAATTGCTTCAATCGAGTAATACATAACAGTAAAATCTCAATATGTAATAACAATATCTTTTGGTAGATTCCAAAACTATCCTACTGCGCTGCTGGATTAATTTAAGAGTAAAATCAACTAAAATGCTTCCATATACTATTCAGAGCCTTGCCTAGCAAACTTTGGGATTTTTCTACGAATTACATCTAAAGAGTCTTTCTGTTGTGCTTTTTGCAATCGGATATGTCTGTCACGTATTGGCCTCATCAGCCACCAGCGTGCCTGTAACAAATGTGGATAGAGCCCTCCCAAATCTTCGTTCGCGAAGCCCAGCCATGAAATATCTAATTACTGTACTATCGGCATTCCATTTTCTCTGGCAGAAAAGAAGCAACAGTTTAAGAGGCTTTGCTCTCAGCTCATTGCAGTTGAGCCTGTGAGGGGTTAACCAGGAGCCATTTATGCCACTGCCCTGCGGAAACCCCCTCCGGGAGCCACAGCGCAGCGGCCCCGCGCACGGCCTCGGAGGCTCCGCGTTCCTGCGCCCGCCTGCACAGCCCCCCGCCCCGGCCGGGCCTCGCCGCCGCCCGCCCAGCTCACCCGGGCCCCCTCCCCGCCATGGCGGCCCCGGCTCTCCCGGAGCGCGGACCGAGCGGGGCCTCCGGCGCTGCCCAACGGAGACACCGCGGGCGGGAAGAGGCGGCGCCTTCCCGCCCTTCCCGCCCGCCGGCCGGGGCTGTGCCGCCGCAGGGAGCGCCCCCTCTGCGGAGCCCCCGGTGCTGCCAGCGCGCCCCTC